GATAGGTGGCAGTGGCCGGGTACAAATTATATCAGCTAACAGATTTTTGTGGACCATCGACATTGGCCCTCGCATTATTGAACCTCTATTTCAACTCAACACCAAAATGGGATGAATGACAAAAATCTCTTGACCAAATAACAACGAAAATTTTGAAGTTTCTCCCCCATTCCCATGTTAAAAAATAAAATATCAAAAACTCAGTTAAAATTTGTAAAAATTATATTTTCTTTTTCATTTTTTGTTTTGTAAATAATTTTCTTAAAAATAAGTTGTTTTTAATATCACAGTTTGTTTTAAAGCTTTTCTTAAATTATTTTTTTTTTTCATTTTCAATGGAAGACAGAAGTTGCTGATTTTTTTTCGAAGGTAGATTTTTTGCACATCTTAAGCCTGGGCCCAACGATCTTGTTGCTGCAAGCAGCTCAATTGATAATCAACAGCCGAGGTCCAAAAGAAGGTACCCTGTTGGGTGCGAATGAAATGTACTGGAACATAGGTTTGCTCCACCTCCTCAGCCAAGATTTGTTCATTGATGTCATTTTCAAATGATTCCATGGATGATGACGAACAATCCATTTCAAGACTGGCATTACGGCTATTCTCCAAGGATTCGAGGGAGTCCATTGAGTTGGCTGCAATATTCTTGGATTTTTGTTGTTTGAAAATCTGTTTCAACAACTTCTTCATGCTGTAGCTGGCGATGGTGGTTGGTTTCTTGTTGGAAATATCCATTTTGTTGTATTCTGGAGATTGAGGAATTTCTACGCACATTTTGAATGCTGCTGGTGTGGCGGTGTGTAAGGGAATGGTTGTGATTAGGTGAAATGTTATCGAGAGAATAATGCTGTACCCTTAGCAACCCCTGGCCTTTTATACCCTCAGCCGTTTTGGATATCCTAGTGAGAACCGGGGGAAGAATGTCCGGGCAGGTAGTTGAAAATCTACCAGCTCCTAAAACAATAGCCTGTCTGTCCATTGTTTGATTTTCCTTTCGAATCGTGGGAACGTTCAGTGAAATTTTGAAAAAATGATTTTAGACAAATAATTTGTGATCCTTGTTAATGTCGATGTAGTTGTTGTTTGCTATTATCGTCTGGTGTTGTTGGAGGTTATGTGTCAGCATGTGTTGTGCTTGTTTAGGATCGTGTCTAAATTCCCTTACAGTAAGAATTGTGTTGTGGTGTTACGATTTGGAAACGATTCCCACGCAATTGGAAAAGTGAAATACGACGCGTGGGGTTGTTTTTCTATTTTGTTTCGGTTTTTCGGGATCCTTTACCAAGCATGTTTATTTTTGCTCACTAGTGATTGTGGGTATGCTTGCCGTTGTGTGCTATGCCAAGTTATGGAATTAGGTCTTCACTGCGTGTTTTATAGTCGTGTGTTAAGCGCGAGTTAACACGAGCTTAATGACATGGCCGTTTGCCCTCGGTTAGTACTTGCCTTTTGGGATTTCTCTAGGGTAAATACAAAATTTTGAATAGGATTTTTGGAAAGAGGTTACCTCAATTTTCCAGGAGGATTTGTATTCATTATAAAGTGTTAATGTGGTCTTACTTTGAAGAGTTGAATCTGAAGAGATTTTTGGCTTTGAATTCCATTTATGCCCTTGCTAAATAAGTCTATAAAACAAAGCATCCAGGCATCCAGAATGTCCTTAGGGGACATCCCAATACACATATTAGGCCCTTTAATTAGGAGAAATTTTTATTGTGTCCCCCCTTTGGTCCGCTTGATAAAAATAAGTTCTGTAAACCTAACACAATTTATGTGGCCACACCACAGACACAACCAGAAATGCATTTCGTAGCTTTTTTTTGGGATGGCGCCCAACAGACCAAAAATGGGATTTTTCAAGTAAAATGTTCTGCGAATATTAAGTAAATAAAATTTATCATTTCGGAAGGGGTGTCGGTCCGGATTCTGACTTCTTCGGTGGTACACATAATTGATGCTTAAGACCCCAAAATTAAAATGACCTTTTGGGACTGCAGCCCAAATTCCTAGGGGGACAACTAAATACACATGTTGGGGGTTTTAATCAGGGGAGTATTTTGTATTGACTCTTCATTTGTTCACTTCCAAAAAAAGGGTATTTAAAACCAGGGCATTTTATAAGACAGCCATAATCAGTACTTAAATCTCCAAATGAATCGAAATCCTCATATTAGGGTATTTAATAAGGGGAGATTTTGATTTTGCTTCCTTTGGGGTAAAGTGATAAAACAGTTCTACATATCCAAGACATTTTATTTTATAGTTGGTCCTAAGTACCAAAATCCAGCAACCTTTTGGGACTACAATCCAAGTACTTAAGGAACAACCATCTAATACACATATATTAGGCTATTTGATCAGGACAGAATTTTCTCCTGTCTTCTCATTTGATCACTTCTTCTAAAATTTCTTTGAAACCAAGTGTTGTTATGTGACAGCCATAATCTGTGCCTAAAACTTCAAAGCTTGAAGACCAGAGGAGTATTTTACATATGGAAGGCCAAAGGGGGGTCTTCTATAAGAGTAGGTGAAATGGATCATCAGTTCAAGGCACCTTTTATGGATAAATGCTCTTTAGACCTAATGGCGTTTTCTATGAATAAAAAATCAAAGGGGCTTCTTAGATGGAAGGCTGAAGATGACTTCGAGTGGTCCAGTGGTGTTTTTGGACTGCTATCAAAATTATCAGGGGATATTTTTACACACACAATATGATAATAAAGAAAGTGTAGATAGACTGTATAGGACGTACAATGAAGTCTGCTTATGTCTCACTAAACCTCCCCTTGGAACTTGGGAAATCATTGCAAAATTTGTTGAGAATCAATGGAACTGTACAGAAATTTACCACAATGAACCATTTGAAAAATGCACTCTGAAATTGTATTGGAGCAATCTTCATTGGGTATTTGCTTAAATTATTCCCATTAATATTCCGTTGCGGTTTGGGTTCGATTTTTTGATGGAATCTCAACAATTCCATTTTTCACTTCAAAATGCAATAAAACTCCCCGTTTCTCCAAGAAATTATGTTCAACATCAGCTCGATCGTATTTTGAATAGCTGCCATGAGAGATTGTATTTAAATTCCAGGTTGACACCAGGGTAAGTAGTCGCCTTGGGAAATTTACAGGGCTAACAGTGCCATGAGTAGTTTTTGAGAGGTTGGCTGTATTATTTGTCCACTAGTTCTAGAAAAATTGGTGTAGGAATGAATTATTTATATATAATGATGAGGTAAAGGGTTTATAGAGGCAGAGGTTTGAGTAATTCCCACTATAAAGCCGCGAAACATGTTGCCCTCCCCTTTTCCTTGTGGTAATTTTTTCCAAAGCACACATACAAATTAATCGATATCCACTCTTCGACAATATCAGGATACAGTATTTTGTCAATTCATCTGAGTGGGCGTAGGATTCATTCAGTCAAACAACAAATGCAAAATACTAAACCCACCTATTCCTGGTGGCATCAACCATAATAAAGCCTGAGAAAAATTCAATGGTATCAGAGGTAATAAAGACATTCAAATATACCTCACTTGTATTTGGATGCCAGGTTGAAACGGGGGTTAGGAGTCGCCTTGGAAGATTTACAGGGCTTACAGAGTCATGTGTATTTATTGTAAGTTGACCTTATTATTTATCCGCTAGTTCCATATAATTGGCATAAGAATGAATTATTGATAAATAATGATGAGGTAAAGGGTTTATAGAGGCAGAGGTTTGGGTAATTCCAACTATAAAGCCGCAAAATATGTTGCCCTCCCTTTATCCTTGTGGTAGATTTTCCAAACCACACATATAAATTAATCGAGATCCCTTTTTGCACTATATCAGGATACAGTAATTTGTCAATTCAGCTGCGGGGTCCAAGGGGTAATTCGGACAAACAACAAATGCAAAATACTAACCCATCTACTTTTTGGTGGCATCAACCATAATAGACACTGACAAAAATTCAATGGCATTAGAGGTAACAAAGTTATTCAAATTTACCTCATTTCTTACAGTAACCGAGTGGACCACTTCTCTATAACCTACCCGTGCTATTAATTAGAGGGGGAAAGTACTAAATATTTGAAATCTTCATTAATAATTTATTCAATGGGGGCATAACATTTCCCTCAAATATTTGGATAAGGGATACTCTTTGAATCTGCTACTCCCATACACATCATTTTCTATTATGAAGAACTGTGTCAGAGGCATCAAAGAGAAAACTGCAGAGGAAGCCCATAAAGGCACTTGTTTTCAAATTAAGTACTGCCTTCACTGCCTTTTCAAATATTTTGATAATGAACTGCATCATTAATTGAAATAACACCTAATATTCCATCTAATACAATGGCTTAAAAGCCGGTGGAACCCTCAAAGTGATATTTCTTGTTTTGAAAATCATTTTACTTTCGGGCACGAGCCTTTTGGGAAACCCAAAAGCCATGGGTTCTTTTTTGAAGATCCAAGTCATCAATAAAAAACTTAGTATTGCCTTATATTTCCCCATACTTTTACAAAACTAACCTATCCTAAGAACCTTATTGCCTTGTCTACACTCCTATTGTCATGAGTTGCGTGGGAACCACATCGTAACCTTACTTGCATTCTTATTGTATTGGCATTTACGAGTCCTGGGAAAGTAACATTTTTCCTGCACACGTGCAAAACTAACAATTTGAAGAAAACACCAACAAAATACCATTTCAAATCCTAATCTCCATTGTTTAGAAATGATTCAGTAAAATTTCGAATTTCACTAGACGTTCCCACGATCAGAAAGGTACATCACACACAATTGATAAGTAGAGTCTTTTGTCCTGGAGCTGGTAGATTTTCTCTTACCTGCATGTCCTTGCAACCTGGCTGGGAGTATAAAAGGCCTAACACTCCCAGAGAACAGCATCATTCTCATTCGATTAACCTTCTTGTAAAGAACTCACTCACCTTCAACACCAAGCATTCAAAATGTGCGTAGAAATTCAACAAAACCAATACCAGAACATGGATATCATCAGCATCTCCCAGAAGAAAAACTCCAGCAGCAGCATGAAGAAGCTGTTCAAACAAATCTTCAAATCCAAGAAAACTGTTGCTGCCTCTGACTCAATGGAATCCTTTGAATCTCTGGAAAATAGCCGCAATGCCAGTCTTGAATCATCCTCAGATTGCGGCTCCATGGAATCCTATGACAACGACATTAATGAATCCTATGAAAAGGAGGCGGAAATTGATTACCCCACCACTGTGCCGGTACACTTTGTACGCACCGAACAGGGTACCTTCTTCTGGACCTCTGCTGCCTATATGCAAGATCGTTGGGCCCAGGCTTAGATTTTTCTTTTGGAAAAAAGAAATAATCTCTAGATGTCTTCCGAAAATGTCATCAACTGTTATATGAAATCATCAAAACAAGCTTTACAAAAACTGTGATAATTTAAGAAAAAAATATTTTCCAAGAAAATAATTTATTATTAAAAAAAAAAAAAAAAAAAAAAAAAACAAAATATATTTTTACAATTTTAAATTTAATTACATTTTTTTTTTATTTTTATAATGGGATTTGGGCGGGATGTTAGAAAATTAAAAAGGACTGTGGGGAGTTCAATAGGAAATATAAAACTAATCTAGGCTTCCAACAAAAATCCTTTAGAATTAGGATTGCCTTATGAACTACAAGCTTTGTAGACAAAATGAAGCCCTCTACAGGTCTTCAAACAAAGTTGACGTTCTATAGGTATTCGTTTGAGAAGGACGGTATTTTACAGTTTAGAAGTCCTATAACATATGTTTTACACAGAAGACCTCATGAAGGCCTTTATAATAGAAGAAGGGGAAACTACTGCGGCTTTATACTAAATAAAAGATCCTAAGGATAGAGCAACGATTTTTACAGGCGTTCTAAACAGAGAAGATCCTTTACAGTTCTCATATGAAATGAAAGCCTTGAACAGATCTTTTGGTAAGGAAAATATCATTTCTAGAGAAATATTTTGCAGGTTTTGTGAGAAGACTTTCAACAGATCTTCTATGAGAGAGGATCTTCTGTGAGAGTAGATATTCTGCAGGCCTTCTTTAAATAGATCTATTACAGGTCTTCAAAATAGAGACGATTTACCAAAAGTCATCAATATAGAAAAAAAATCTGCAGAAAAAATGTTCAAGTGTCGAATACTTTTACAGATCTTCTGTAGAGTAAGAATTTTCCAGGGTTTTCTATGGACGGAACTCTTTTACAAAGAGACAATTCCCAGAATGTCTCCTTGTATGAAAAACCAGACAGGCTCCTATTGAGAGAAGACCAATAAAATATCTTCTTTTTGTAGAGTTCCTATAAAAGGTCTTCTATGTAAAGAAGGAAGACCTCTATGAAATCTAGATATTCCGCAGGCCTTATATAAAGAGATATTTTACAGCTCTTCAAAATAGAGTAGTTTTACCATAAGTCGCCAATATAGAAACTAAATTCTACAAATAAAAGTGTTCAAGGGGAGAAGACTTTTACAGATCCTCCATTGAATAAGAACCCACCAAGTTTTCTATAGACGGAACTCTTTTACAGAGAGACAATTTTCGAATAGTCTCCTTATATGAAAAATCAGACAGGCTCCTATTGAGAGAAGACTGATAGAATATCTTCTTCCTGTAGAGCTCCCATAAAAAGTCTTCTATGTAAAGAAAGAAAAATATCCTTGTGAGAAAAAATCTGCAGCACTTCTATTGAGAGAAGATCTTTAACAGATCTTTAATGAGAGTAAATATTCTGCAGGCCTTTTATAAAGAGATATTTTACAGGTCTTCAAAATAGACGTGATTTACTATAATTCATCAATACAGAAAAGAGCTTCTGCGGAGAAAAATGTTCAATGGGGGAATACTTTTACAGAACCTCCATAGAATAAGAATTCTCCAGGTTTTTTTTATAGTCTCCTTATATGAAAAATCAAACGGGCTCCTATTGAGAGAAGACCAATAGAATATTTTCCTTCTTCAGAGTTTCTATAAAAAGCATTCTTTATAAGAAAAGAAAATATCCTTATGTGAACAAATCAGCAGGACTTATATTAAGAGAAGACCTTCAAAGATCTTCCCTCAATGGGGTACCTGTAACATATATTCTATATAAAGAAACCCCGTAAAAGGCATTCCTTTCTTAAAAGTCCTATAGAAGAAACCCTCTAAATAAAACTTCTTTTTAAGATGTAGCTATGGCAGAGTTTTGAGGGTCTCGTCTCTATAGAAGAACTGGGAAATAATCCCCCTCTCTGATGAAGACATGTTAAACGTATCTATAAATGACCCGTAAAATGTCAGTCCCTGGTTAAGATCATTGTATAGAAGATCTGCAAATGGTCCTCTACCTACAGAAGACTCCTAAAATACTTTCTAACTAGAGAAGATCCAAAAAAGATCTTCTAACAACAGAAGATCCCTATAAGGTCTTCTATTTGCAGATTGCCCATTAGAGTTTCTGTTTCTAAAAAAGATCTCCAGTAGGCCTCCTATAAGCAGAAGGTATGGAGAATATCTTTTGTCTATAGAAGACCGGTGGACCGTTTTTCCTATAGAAGAAATCTAGTACAGCTTTTCTTTATAAAATAACTGTAGAACATCTAAACTTTATTGAAGCCCATCTTCGTATAGGAGATCTATAGAAGGTATTCCCTCTATAAAATTCCCTACGAAAGGTCTTCTATCTATTAAAATGCTGTAGAAGGTGTGCTATCTAGGGATCTTCCCTCTATAAGAGAGTTTTGATATTTCTTCCCCATAGAAAATCTTCTGTCCATTATTCTCTTTACAGATGTCGTAATTTGGAATTTTAACTAAAGAAGTTCAGTGGAAGTCTTTTTAATCAACTGGCGAACTGTGAAAAGTATAAAAGAGTTGTTGTCAATATCGGGGCTTTTAAACGGTCTTCTATCTATAAAAGGTATTCTATATATAAGCATTGATCTTCTCTCTATAGCAGATCTATTATAATTCTTCTCTAAAGAAATTCTCTTGTCAATTATTGAATTTTGAGATCGGCCAACAGAAGATCAGTAGAAGACCTCTTAATTAACTACCGGCCTTTAAAAAGCCTTATAAATAGTTTGTCATTATCAAGGCCTGTATCTGTAGAATTACTTCTAGAGAAGAACTTCTTTCTATAGAATACATGGAGATGATATTTTTTGGTAGAATACGAACAAATGGAAGAGTTCATATAATTATCCAATCTTAATTTAGAAGAAAGCCATGGCTATGGAAGTCAGGACTTTTTAACTTTTCCATTGAACTTCCAATAGCCCTCTTTACTCTTTTGACATCCTCAACCGTCGCTCTCAAACGAAGACCTATAGAACGCCATCTTTCTTTGAAGACCTGTAGGTGGCTTCATTTTATTTAGAAGACTTGTAGTTCACAAGATACCCTAATTCTAAAGGATTTTTGTTGGAAGCCTAGATTAGTTTTATATTTCCAATTGAACTCTCCACGGCCTCTTTTAATTTTCTAACATCCCGCCCAAATCCCATGATGAAAATTAAAAAATCATATAATTAAATTTAAATTTGTAAAAATATATTTTGTTTTCATTTGTTTTTTTTTTAATAATAAATTATTTTCTTGGAAAATATTGTTTTTTCATAAATTATCACAGATTTTGTAAAGCTTCTTTTGTTGATTTCATATAACAGTTGATGACATTTTCGGAAGACATCTAAAGATTATTTCTTTTTTCCAATTTGCAAAAATAAGAAAAATCTAAGCCTGGGCCCAACGATCTTGCATATAGGCAGCAGAGGTCCAGAAGAAGGTGCCCTGTTCGGTGCGTACAAAGTGAACCGGTACGGTGGTGGGGTAATCAAATTCCTCCTGCTTTTCATAGGATTCATTGATGTCGTTGTCATAAGATTCCATTGAGCCGCAATCTGAAGATGATTCCAGACTGGCATTGCGGCTATTTTCCAAAGATTCAAAGGATTCCATTGAGTCAGAGGCAGCAACAGTTTTCTTGGATTTGAAGATTTGTTTGAACAGCTTCTTCATGCTGCTGCTGGAGTTTTTCTTTTGGGAGATGCTGATGATATCCATGTTTTGGTATTGATTTTGTGTGATTTCTACGCACATTTTTAATGTTTAATGTTCAGAGTGAGTTCTTTACAAGAAGGTTAATCGAATGAGAATGATGCTGTACTCCGGGAGTGTTGGGCCTTTTATACTCTCAGCCAGGTTGCAAGGACATGCAGGTAAGAGAAAATCTACCAGCTCCTGGGCAAAAGACTCTACTTATCAATTGTGTGTGATGTACCTTTCTGATCGTGGGAACGTCTAGTGAAATTCGAAATTTTACTGAATCATTTCTAAACAAAGGAGATTAGGATTTGAAATGGTTTTTGTTGTTGTTCTCTTCAAATTGTTAGTTTTGCACGTGGACAGGAAAAATGTTACTTTCCCAGGACTCGTAAATGCCAATGAAATAAGAATGAAAGTAAGGTTTCGAAGTGATTCCCACGCAACTCATGGCAATAGGAAAGTAGTCAATTAGGTTCTTAGGATAGGTTAGTTTTGTTAAAGTATGGGGGAATATAAGGCAATACTAAGTTTTTTATGGATGACTTGAATCTTCAAAAAAGAACCCATGGCTTTTGGGAAACTCAAACTAGGCTCGTGCCCAAAAGTGAAATGATTTTTCAAAACAAGAAATATCAATTTGGGGTTCCACCGGCTTTTAAGCCATTGTATTAGGTGGAACATTAGGTGTTATTTCAGTTAATGGTGGAATTCATTATCAAAATATTTGAAAAGGTAGTAAAGCCGCCCATATTTGAAAACAAGTGCCTTTCTGGGATTCCTCTGCAGTTTTTTCTTTGATGCCGTTGTCGCGCAGTTTTTCATAATAGAAAATGGTGTGTATGGGAGTAATAGATTTAAAGAGTATCACCTATCCAAATATTTGAGGGAAATGTTATGCCTCCATGGAATACATTATTAATGAAGATTTAAAATATTCAGTACTTTCCGCCTCTAATTAATAGCACGGGTATGTTATAGAGAAGTGGTCCACTCGGTTTCTGTAAGAAATGAGGTACATTTGAATACCTTTGTTACCTCTAATGCCATTGAATTCGTGTCAGGGTCTATTATGGTTGATGCCACCAAAAAGTAGATGGGATTATTATTTTGCATTTGTTGTTTGAATGAATGACCCCTTGGCCCCCTCAGCTGAATTGGCAAAATACTGTATCCTGATATTATGCAAGGGGGGATCTTGGTTAATGTGTGTGGTTTGGGATAATCTACCAGAAGGTGGGGATGGCAATATGTTTTGCGGCTTTATAGTAGGAATTACACAAAATTCTGGCTCTAAAAACCCTTTACCTTTGTATTTTATATCAACAATTCATTCCTATGCCAATTATCTGGACCTTGTGGATAAATAATACAGTCAACCTAAAAAAAATACACATTACTCTGTAAAACCTGTTAATTTTCCAAGGCGACTCCTTACCCCCGTATCAACCTGGCATTCAAATACAAGTGTGGTAAATTTGAATATGTTTATTACCTCTAAGACCATTGAATTTTTCTCAGGGTCTATTATGGTTGATGCCATCAGGAATAGGTGGGATTAGTATTTTGTATTTGTTGTTTGACTGAATGACTCCTACGCTCCCCTCAGATGAATTGACAAAATACTTTGTCCGGATATTGTACAAAAAGGGATCTTGATTAATTTATATGTGTGGTTTGGAAAATCTACCACAAGGATGGAGGGAGGGCAACATGTTTTGCGGCTTTATAGCGGGAATTACCCCAACCTCTGGCTCTATAAACCTTTACCTCATCATTATATATCAATAATTCATTCCCATATCAATTCTTTTAGAACTAGTAGCCAAGTAATACAGTCAACCTAAAAAATACACATGACTCTGTAAGCCCTGTAAATTTTCCAAGGCGACTCTTTACCCCCGTGTCAACCTGGCATACAAATACAAGTGAGGTAATTTTGAATATGTTTATTACCTCTGATACCATTGAATTTTCTCAGGGTCTATTATGGTTGTTGCCACCAAGAATATGTGGGATTAGTATTTTTCATTCGTTGTTTGACTGAATGACTCCTACGCCCCCTCAGGTGTATTGACAAAATACTGTATCCTGATATTCTGCAAGAGGGGATCTCCATTAATGTGTATGTTTGGTTTGGAAAAAAATACCTTAAAGATGAGGCAAGGACACCATGTTTTGCGGCTTTATAGTGGGAATTACCCAAACCTCTGGCTCTATAAACCCTTTATCTCATCATTATATATCAATAATTCATTCCTACACCAGTTTTTCTAGAACTAGTGGACAAATAATACAGCCAGCCTGCCAAAAATACACATGACTCTGTTAGCCCTGTAAATTTTCCAAGGCGACTCCTTACTTAGTCTTAATCTGACATTTAAATACAATCTCTAATGGCAGCTATTCAAAGTACGATCGGACTGATGTTGGAGGGAATTTCTTGCAAAAACGGGGAATTTTATTACATTTTGAAGTGAAAAATGCAAATGTTGAGATTCCATCAAAAAATCGAACACGAACAGCAATGGAATATTAATGTGAATAATTTAAGCAAATACCCAGTGATGGCAGGATTGCATTAATAAAATTTCATGGTGCATTTTTCAAATGGTTCATTGTGGTAATTTTTGTAGAGTTCCTTTGATTCTCAACTAATTTTGCAACGGTCTCCCACGTTCCAAGGGGAGGTTTAGTGAGACATAAGCAGCCTTCCTTGAATGGCCCATACAGTCTATCTACATTTTCTTTAATATCCTAATATGTATGTAAAAATATCCCCTGAAAATTTTGATAGCAGTCCAAAAAAGGCCAATGGACCTCTCGAAGGCATCTTCAGCCTTCCATCTAAGAAACCCCTTTGATTTTTTTATTCATAGAAGACCCATTAGGTCTAAAGAGCATTTATCCATAAAAGGTGCCTTGAACTGGTGATTCATTCCACCTACTCTTATAGAAGACCCCCTTTGGCCTTCCATATGTAAAATACTCCTCTGGTCTTCAAGCTTTGGAGTCTTAGGCACTGATTATGGCTGTCACATAAAAATACTTGGTTTCAAAGAACTTTTAGAAGAAGTGATCAAATGAGAAGACAGTAGAAAATTCTGTCCTGATCAAATAGCCTAATATGTGTATTAGATGGATGTTCCTTAAGTACTTTGATTGTAGTCTCAAAAGCCTAATGGATTTTGGTACTTAGCACCAACTATAAAATAAAATGTCCAGGATATGTAGAACTTTTTATGAAGTGAATAAAAAATAAAAGGAAGCAAAACGAAAATCTCTCCTTATTGAATACCCTGATATGTGTATTAGGATATCCCCAAGGATTTTGATTCATTTGGTGATGTAAGTACTGATTATGGCTGCCATATAAAATTAACTGGTTTTAAATACCATTTTTGGGAAGTGAACAAGTGAGGAGCCAAAACAAAACACTCCCCTGATTAAATCTCCCAACATGTGTATTTAGTGGTCCCCCTAGGAATTTGGGTTGGAGTCCCAAGAGGTCATTTGAATTTTGGGGTACTAAGCACCAATTATGGTTGCCACCGAAGAAGTTAGAATACAGACAGGCACGCCTTCCGAAATGATAAATTTTATTTAATTTATAAATAATAAGATTTTTTTTTTCAAATAAAAAGGCCGATAAACAACCATTTCTCAAAATATTATTTATTTAATATTCGCAGAAAATTTTGCTTGAAAATCTCATTTTTGGACTGTTGGGCGCCATCCCAAAATAGCTACGAAATGCATTTCTGGCTGTGTCTGTGATGTGGCCACATAAATTGTGTTTGGTTTGCAGAACTCTTTTTTATCAAGTGGACCAAAGAAGGGACACAATAATAATTTCCCATAATTAAATGCCCTAATATGTGTATTTCGGATGTCTCCTAAGGACATTCTGGATGTCATATGAAAGGGGACTTTGATTTATGGAACTATTTTGCAAGTGCATAAAAGGCATGCCAAGCCAAAAATCTTTTCAGATTCGACTCTTCAAAGTAAGACCACATTAACACTTTATAATGAATACAAATCCTCCTGGAAAAAAAGATGATACCTCAAATCTTTCCAAAAATCCTATTCAAAATTTTGTATTTGCCCTAGAGAAACCCCAAATGGCAAGTATAAACTGAGGGCAAACGGCCAAGCCATTAAGCTCGTGTTAACTAGCGCTTAACACACGACTATGGAACACGCTACGAAGCCGCAATTCCATAACTTGGCATGGCACACAACAGCAAGCATTCCCAATCACTCGTGAGCAAAAATAAACATGCTCTATTAAGGATCCCGAACAAAACGAAACAAAATAGAAAAACAACCCCACGCGTCATATTTCACTTTTCCTATTGCGTGGGAATCGTTTCCAAATCGTAACACCACAACAAAATTCTTACTGTAAGGGAATTTAGACACGATCCTAAACAAACACGACACATGCTGACACATAACCTCCAACAACACCAGACGACAACAGCAACAACTACATCGACATTAACAAGGATCACAAATTATTTGTCTAAAAATTTCACTGAACGTTCCCACGATCCGAAAGGAATATCAAACAATGGACAGACAGGCTATTGTTTTAGGAGCTGGTGGATTTTCAACTACCTGCAGGGACATTCTTCCCCAGTTCTCACTAGTTTACCAAAACGGCTGAGGGTATAAAAGGCCAGGGGTTGCTAAGAGTACAGCATCATTTTCTTGCTAACATTTCACCTAATCACAACCATTCCTTTACACCTCACCACACCATCATTCAAAATGTGCGTAGAAATTCCTCAAACTCCAGAATACAACAAAATGGATATTTCCAACAAGAGACCAACCACCATCGCTAGCTACAGCATGAAGAAGCTGTTGAAACAGATCTTCAAACAACAAAAATCGAAGAAAATTGCTGCCAACTCAATGGACTCCCAAGAATCCTTGGAGAATAGCCGAAAAGCCAGTCTTGAATCGGATTGTTCGTCATCGTCCATGGAATCCTTTGAAAATGACATCAATGAACAAATCTCGGCTGAGGAGGAACAGCAAACCTATGTTCCGGTACATTTTATTCGCACCCAACAGGGTACCTTCTTTTGGACCTCGGCTTCTGATTATCAATTGACCTGCTTGCAGCAACAAGATCGTTGGGCCCAGGCTTAGAAGGAGCAAAAATGACCTTCGAAAGAAATTCAACAACTTCTGTCTTCCATTGAAAATGAATCAATTTATAATTTAAGAAAAGCTTTAAAACAAACTGTGATATTTATAAAAAAAAAACATATTTTTAAGAAAATTATTTACAAAACAAAAAATGAAAAAAATGAAAAAAAAAATAATATTTACAAATTTAAATTTAATTTTGTTTTTTTTATTATTTATATGAGGATGGGGGAGAAAATTCAAACTTTTATTTTATTTGGTTGAGAGATTTTTGTCGTTAATTCCATTTTGGGGTTGAGTTGAAAAAGAGGTTCAATAACGCGAGGCCAATGTTGAGGGTCCACAATAATTTGTTAATTGGCACATTTTGTCTCGGTCACTGCCACCTATCATTCCGTGTGGGAACTATGTATTGCAATGGGTTATCGCTGAATTTTTCTACTTTTTAAGATATTAGTAATTTTCGTAAGGCTTTGCTTATGAGCTCTCATTTGGACATTTACATGTCAGATTGTAATTGTTATAAAAAAAATATTGCATATAATTAATAGTCTTCTTAAAAATAATTACTAAAAACCTGGGCTTAGCTCACTCCAATACAGAGAGAGGAGTTTTTAAAACCACAAATAAATTTAACTTTAAGCAGAACACCATCTATAGCGAAAACATGGCAACCCAACTTTAGCAAAGAAATTTACAATGGCAAGGTATGTTGTTACGGTTGCCTCATAGATGGCGCTTCTGTCGAAAGAATATACAAAATTGATCCAATATACGAAGAAAATCCGCAGCAGGCCAAATGGGGACTACCATTTTGAAGAACCTGTGGAACTCGACTCAAGAAGGACTCCTGTAGATAGAAGTTCAAAGGAGTCTCCTATAGACAGGAGACCAAAGCTATCTCCATAGATAGAAGACCAAAAGGAACCTTCTTCTATAGATAGAAGGCCAATGGGGTCTTCTATGCATGGAAGGGCAAAAAGGGGACTCCTATGGGTAGAAGTACAAATGGATATATCTATAGATAGTGGAGCCAAGTATCTTCTAAGGATATACAATTAAAATGGATATTTTAAACATAGAAGGCCAAAGGGGATCTTCCTAGATAAAACACTAGTAGGATTCTCCTATGGATAGAAAACTGAAGGACTATTGTATAAAAAAAAGTTAAAAAGCAGTAAGTTCGGCCGGGCCGAATTTTTAACACCCTCCACCATTTGGAACGAATTTGGAAATTTTCAAAAAATAAAATCCTTAAAAAAATCCTGTTAAAATTTTAAAAATACCGAATATAGCAGTTATATGGGGGTCTATACGACGTGGACCTACATTGGCTTTGTCATAAGCCATTATCATATTCAAATTCGAAACTAGAAATGAACGGTGAATAATGTAGCTAAAATCATCAAAATACCTTATATATAGGGAGGTATCGCTATATCAGAGCTATACGAAGTCCTGGACCTGCTTAGACAATTTTCTGTCACAGGCTGTAGCATTCATTATGAACTTCAAATACGACATCTCAAACAATTTCGGTGAGTATTGTACCTAAAATCGTCAAAATACCGAATATAGAGAGGTACTGATATATGGGGCCTATACGAAGACCTGGACCTGCATAGGCAATTTTCTGTCACAGACTGTAGTTCACATTACGAACTCTAAATACGTAATTTGAAACTACTCCGGTGAATAATGACGCTAAGATCATCAAAATACCGTTATATGGCGGCAATACGAAGACGTGGACCTGCATGGACAATTTTCTGTCTTAGGCTGTTGTATCCATTACGAACATGAAATACCAAATTTGAAACAATTCCGGTGAAGAATGTCGCTAAAATAATCAAAATACCGAATACCGGGAGATACCGTTATATGAGGGCTATACGAACCCATTTTCAATACCGCTAAATCGACATAGAATTTTATGCTGGGGCTTAAAATGTATATTTTGAGGTGTTACAAACGGAATGACAAACTTAATATAGCCTCCATACTATGGTGGAGGATATAAAAATAAAAGGAGCCTTCTTTAGACTGAAGACCAGGATAGATGATCTAGGGGGGGTCATCTGTAGATAGGAGACTAAAACGGTTACTTCTGTAGATAGTGGACCAAAACAACGTCTTGAACAGATAGAGGACGGTCTTTCTACATCTATGTTCTATTATGAGGTACCTAGGTTGTCCTAAGGCGACATCTGAAATACACATATTAGGGCATTTCGTGCCACTTGATAAAAATTCTGAAAATCAAGGAGAATTTATATGGCATTCATAATTGGTGCTAAAATTTCTAATTTCAAATGACCTCTTTGGACTGAAAGGGACGCCCGAATACACATATAAGAGTAGTTAAATATCCGAAAAATTGGGGTTGTCTTCTTGATTATTTACTTCCGTAAATGTCAAGTTATTTTATGTGGCTGCCGTATGTTCCGTTTCCATGTTCCGTTTTTGGACTGCTATTACAATCCTTAGGGGACATCCTAATTCTCATACAAGGGTATCCAATGAGGGGTGATTTGTACTTTTCTTTATTTTTACTCAATTGAGAAATGGCTCTAGAGATCCAAGAGATTTCAGAGGCACCTTTAATAGATAAGGGTTCTTCAGACCTAATATATGTCTTCTATGAACATACAATCAAAGGGATTTTTTAAATGGAAGACTGAAGATGCCTTTTCTGAAAAGACTATCCAATAAGCCTCTTTGAATGGAAGGTTAAAAAGATGTCTTTCATAAATTCAAATTAAAAATATCCACCATTGAGAGTGACTATTCTGCATATAGACCATCAAAAGGAGTCTTCTATAAATGGAGAACCAGAAGAAATGGAAAGTAATTAAAGACCCTCTTTCTAAGTTGCAATTTGGCAGCATAGAACAGCATTGCAATGAGAATCGAGACAAGGCTCCATCTATCGGGAAAATGTCAACAATTATTATGTGTAAACCTATAGCAATGCATAGTTCTCAAACGGGAGGAAAGGTGACCTATGTCAGTTAACAAATTATTGTGGACCCTCGACTTTGGCCCTCTCGTTATTGACCTTCAACCTCAACCCCAAATTGAATTAACGACAAAAATCTCGAACATTTTCTAAATTTCTCCCCCAACCCCATGTAAATAATAAAAATTCCAAATATTCAGTTAAAATTTGTAAAAAATTATATTTTCTTTTCATTTTTTGTTTAATAAACAATTTTCTTAAAAATATGTTTTTTTTTTTTTAAATATCACAGTTTGTTTTAAAGCTTTTCTTAAATTTGAAAATTTTAATTTTCAATGGAAGACAGAAGTTGCTGATTTTCTTTCGAGGGTAATTTTTTGCACCTCCTAAGCCTGGGACCAACGATCTTGTTGCTGCAAGCAGCTCAATTGATAATTAGCAGCCGAGGTCCAAAAGAAAGTACCCTGTTGGGTGCGTATAAAATGTACTGGAACATAGGTTTGTTCCTCCTCCTCAGCCAAGATTTGTTCATTGATCTCATTTTCAAAGGATTCCATGGAATACGACGAGCAATCCGTTTCAATACTGACATTGCGGCTATTCTCCAAGGATTCAAGAGAGTCCATTGAATTGGCAGCAATTTTCTTGGATTTTTGTTGTTTGAAGATCTGTTTCAACAGCTTCTTCATGCTGTAGCTGGTGGTGGTGTTTGGTTTCTTGTTGGAAATATCCATTTTGTTGAATTCTGGAGTTGGAGGAATTTCTACGCACATTTTGAATGCTGCTGGTGTGGCGGTGTGTAAGCGAATGGTTGTGATTAGGTGAAATGTTATCGAGAGAATGATGCTGTGTACGCAGCAACCCCAGGCCTTTTATACTCTCAGGGAATTGGTATCCCTGCTGGTGAAGAAAAAGGACATGCAGGTCTTTATAAAACTACCAACTCCTTGCAACAACAATTTTCGTATGTCTGATGCATTGTTTATTTTATTTCCCTCGGATCGTGGGAACGTCTAGCAAAGAAAATGTTGGGTGTTTTGGAAGAAATTAAGTGTCTAGGATTTTTATCAGCAAAATCTATGATCCTTTTTCTTATTATTGTTGTTGTTTTTCTTCTTATTTTAAAAATGCCATGCACGTGCACGTTTATTTCTTGGGCCTCCACAGACTGACATCAATAGAATTAAAAGTAAAAGATCATTTCGAAATGTTTCCCACGCCTGGAAAATAGGATATTAGACACGTTAAGTGTTTTTGTATCCTTTCTTGTTTTCTTTGGAGATAAGGCTACGTGTGGGCACCAAACTGGTAATAAGAATGTTGCTGCTTGTTTATCGGTAATTGGTTGGTCTCCAAAATGTGTTGGGCAGTGAAAGTGTGGCCATGGCCTTAATTTGTCTTCGATTATGGAGTAGGGCTAGAAAGCGTGCGTAAAACGCTAAAGCATACGCCTAACGCGAGCCAAAGTCTATTCAATGGCTTTTGCGGCAATTGTAAGGACATAATGGACTACTAGCCCGTTTTCAGAGACTGAAGGTGGAAATTTATTTGGTCATATGGAATGCTTTCTGGGTTTCAGAGTTATTAATATTGAGTTGTCTATTTCAAATAATGATCTGGATAAACAAGAGCGGTGGCTTATCTTGACTTCTTGAAGTAGGTGCTTGAAATTGGGTCAACATTTGATATTTCATTATAATAAGGGAGCTCTGGTGTCCAAATTTTTCGGATATTTTAAAATTTGAAATTGGTAGGACAATAAACAAGGAAAATGATATTCATAACAGTTTCTGGACATTTTAGTGTCATAATCGTCTTCAAGAATGGGACGGAGTATCGCTAAAAAGGACTAAATTATGCCATTCGCACACTTTTACAGAACTCTTTATGTACTTTCTAAGGGGTCCTTCTTTCCATAAGTCATTCTTAAAAAAAAAAAAATATTGAACAGGAGAATCTGCAAAAATGGACAATGTGGTACCTCTAAATTGAGTCGAAAAATCTATTTTGTAGGGATGACACATTCAATGAGGGGTACCTTATAGATCTCAAAACATACCTCACATAAAATTATATATTCATGTCAGATTTCTGGTTAAGAGAAATATTTAGACTATTTACGTAAGTTATGACAAATATAGGTATTAGAAATTTTGACCCTTTGTGGGTGAGGTACCAGAAAGGGTTGGCAGATATATATTATCTTCACAACAGATCTTGCATAAGCAAAAATATTTAGATGTGTGAAATGCTTTCTTTGAGCATTTTCCTTTAAGGAGTGGTCCGATCTCTACCATCTTTATAACAAATCTTGAGATGATGGAAATATTGAGATGTGCCAAGTCTGAATGGAATCGAATGTTACTTTGGTTTTTATGAGCTTCATAAAAATTCAAAATGTGAACCTTTTGTGGGAGAGATAACAGAAGGAGAGGACCGATATATTCCATCTTCACTACAGGATTTGGGTTAATAAAAATATTGTGATGTGTGTACTTTCAAGAGAACCGGATGCTTATTTCGTATTTTATGATCGTTTGGGTCATTTAAAACTTTGACCTTTTGTGGGGGAGGTACAACAAGGAGTAGACCGACATATTCCATCTTCACACCAGACCTTACGTTAAGAAAAATATTGTGATGTGTGTGTAACTTAAAAAACAATCGGACTCACATTACATTTTATAAGAGTTGTAATTATTTAAAATTTTGACCCTTTGTAGAGGGTGTACCTGATAGAGAGGACCGATATTGTTCATTTTCGCACCTGACCGAGCCCTGATGCAAATATTAGCTTTCGCATAGTTGGAGCAATATCGTATTATCATTTCTCTTATATGCCTTATATAAATTGAAGACCATCAGCAGACCTTAATGCTCACTGAAAATATTGCCTATGGTCAGCTCATGCCAATACTACAGGTCGTGCTAAGAACGTGTTGACCCACTCCTCATATCCCCATGTCAGGCTCATGCTTAGCACGTATTCCAAGCAATTACACGTCCCAGCGTTAAACTCTATCAAATAAAACCACCTCAACTTGTTACAATCAGCAATGGTTCCAAACAAACCCAAATATTGATAACCATTCAATTCGACAGCATGCTTCCACACAAACTAGGAATACAGCCTTATCCGTTTAAAATAATAACAACAATCATTTCCATGCCTCAGCAATGCGTGGGAAACATTTCGAAACCAAGTGAAATTCATTTAGTTTCTAAATGGAATATGTCTGTCCTAATACATCCTTTTTCCAATGCCAAGACATCAACAAAATCTAAAATCTACAATTTCATACAACAGATGCCTTTTGTTATCCTTAGTTTGAAAATTTTCAGTTTTCCTCAAGCATTCCCACGCTCAGAAAGAAGGATAAGTGAAAATCCTTTGGACAGACAGAACTACACAGACCATTGTTTGTGAGTATTGGTATTTTTACAAAGACCTGCTTTCTTTCACTTTGCAGGATTCTCATGGCTGAGAGTATAAAAGGCTGAGGTTCTCAAGGATACAACATCATTCTCTTTTGAGCATTCAAACATCAAACATCTCTCACAAAAATTCAAAATGTGCGTAGAAATCTCTCAAACTCAACAATACAACAAAATGGATATCACCATCTCCACAAAGAAAACCACCAGCTACAGCATGAAGAAGCTATTGAAACAAATCTTCAAACAACAAAAATCCCAGAAAGTTGCTGCTGCCGACTCAATGGAATCATTGGAAAATGATCGCAATGCCAGTTTGGAATCGGATTGCGCCTCCATGGAATCCTTTGAAAATGACATCAATGAAAAACTCTCAGCCAAGCAATTCAACGAAGAGGAGGAATTCGACTACCCCACTACCTCAGTACCAGTTCACTTCGTTCGCACCCATCAGGGTACCTTCTTTTGGACTACCACCAGTGTCTTTGAGCAAGTATCCTGCCTGCAAGATCGTTGGGCCCAGGCCTAAGAAAAAAAACTGTTTCCGACGATAACTCAGCAATCCATATCTTCCATTCAAAAGCTTTAAAAACTGTGATATTTTATATGTATACATTAAGGAAACAAAAACAATTTTATACAAAATCAATTATATACAAAATTTATAAACAAAAATATTTTGCGTATTTTTTTTTCTTTTTTTTAATATGGGGATTTTTGGGTTTACATGGGGAGTTGGTATGAGGGTTTACCAGAATTGATATATTTAAATGATTTTAATTTTATTGAGAGTTCAAAATCTCAGATTATGGAAATATCTGTTGATGAGTGTACACAATCTTATGTGGGACGGTACAATATGAAAGGGAGTTCGATAGTTTTACCTACATTCACTATTACCTGTGAGATCATAACCAAAACCAATTCGCTACCAAAAAACGATTTACTATTTTTATACCCTTCACCATAGTATTGAGTTAAGTATGTCATTCCGTTTTTAACACCTCGAAATAATCATGTTAGACCCAACAAGGAGTATATATTCTTGATCAACGTAAAATTCTAAGTCGATTTAGCGATGTCCGTCCGTCTATCGAAATCACTCTAGCTTCCAAACGAATTGAAGTAGATTGATAAAATTTTACTCAAATGTATATTATGTCTGCAGGACTTTTGGTACTGAAAATGAGCCATGTAGATCAACGTTTTGGTATAGCCCCCCATATAATGGTACCTCCCGATATTCGGTGATTGATGATTTTAGCGACAATATTCATCGAAATTGTTTCAACCTTGGTATTTGAAGTTCGAAATGGATACTACAGCCTATGACAGAATCTTGCCCGTGTAGGTCCACGTCTTCGTACGGCCGTCATATAACGATACCTCCCGATATTCGGTATTTTGATGATTTTAGTGACATTTTTCACCGGAATTGTTTAAAATTTCGTATTTGTAGTTCAAAATGGATACTACAGCCTTAGACAGAAAATTGTCTGTGCAGGTCCACGTTTTGGTATAGCCCCCATATAATGGTCCCTCCCGATATTCACAGAATTTTTTTCAAGTTTTGGATTAGATTATTTTAATGGCTTATGGCAAAAGTCGTATAGACCCTAATATATTGGCTACCTTCGGTATTTTTAAGATTTTAACGGATTTTATTTTTTGTAAATTGCCAAATTCGTTCTAAAAGGTGGAGGGTATTTAAAGTTCGGCACGCAGAACTTAAAGCTTTTTTACTTGTTTCCCTAGATTTGGGCACATACATTTTAATTTTGTTCCACTTTATCCCCTCGGATTTCCATGGGGTTTTAAGTAATGGTAAAATCTCCAAAACACCTAAAATTACCGGCTTAAAGGCTTTATCGAAACATAAATCATAGAAACCTGTTGAATGTTCAATTTAAAACACTAAAATACTATCTTTAAAATTTGCAAATTATGGCAAAACAATTTGGGATCGTCTTTAATACAACCAGTCACTCATCTTTTTACCACTGACATCCTTTATATGCAGAGGGATAGAGGGAAAGAAGCATGTCCTCCCTTAACCTGCTCAATTGACCACCTTATGTGTACTGCCATCTGTATATGAATATTGAAAGTAAATTAAGCTATCCTGCCTTAATATTACTAATATTTAGAAAGAAGTGACCATACTTTAATGGTAAGTCACATCATTGAGTTTATTTTATATGTTCTCTGGAACGACATCTATACTTCAGCTATAAAAACATTGTTGAGTATTTTCTTTTTGTATGAAATGTCTTTGGTCGCATTGTTAAATTCAGTTGAAGAAGCTCATGTTTAGATTATTTAGAGATTTACGATGTTTGAATACTCGAATGTTATTAAATCCTTTAAATCCTTAGGGATATTTAAGCTTGGGATAGAGTACCATCTGTTACTGAGATATGAGGCAAGGCTTGTTATATATGCTATACATAGCGCCACCTATACCTCAGCTATAGTAGTGTTGCCTCATTATACTGCATCAGAAGTAAAATCAAATATTTGTCCTTAGAACTAAAGGAAACCCCATTTTATTTACACAATGTTGGAACAAGACAGACATACTCAGGTACTGACGAGATTTTCAGATTGTTTAGAGATTTACGATGTTTGAATGCTCGAATGTTATTAAATCCTTTAAATACTTAGCGATATTTAAGCTTGGGATAGAGTACCATCTGTTACTGAGATATGAGGCAAGGCTTGTTATATTTGTTATACATAGCGCCACCTATACGTCAGCTATAGAAGTGTTTTTGTTTAATTGCATCTGAAGTAAAATCAAATATTTGTCTATAGAACAAAAAGAAAAATCCCATTTTTTACAAAATGTAGGAACAACACAGACATAAGGTGGTACGGACGAGGTGGGGTTCACAAATGAAACTCGCAAGATAGATCATTGAGAATTTTGTATATGTCAACGAACGTCATCTGTACTTCAATAATAATAGTATTGTTAATGAATGAATCACTGAATTGGCCGCGAGCTTATCAATGTCCACAAAAGATCGACTTGTGAGGCCATTTTTTAAGAAATCCTCTCTACATTGTTTCAAAATTAGCAGAAAAAATGATTGAGATTATTCCATATGCTAAGCAACGCCACCTATATTTCAGCCATAACAATAATCTTATATATTGCCTTGTTCAGGCATACTTTTGGGGGAAGCATCAAAAATGATTTAAGGACACTAAATGAGCTGTTCAGACCCTAAAACCCCAAACCATTTTTCGTTATTAATTTTTTTAAGAAATAAAATGCAGAATTTTTGTTTAAAATTGTTTATATTTTTTGTTTTGTTGTAAAATATTTTTTCTTAATTTATATATTTAAAGTATCACAGTTGTTTTTAAAGCTTTCAAAATAAGTTTTTGAATGAAAGGCTGGGATTGTTGAGTTTTCATATGAAAACAGATTGGTTTTTTTAGGCCTGGGCCCAACGATCTTGCAGGCAGGATACTTGCTCAAAGGCACTGGTGGTAGTCCAAAAGAAGGTACCTTGCTCGGTGCGAACAAAGTGAACTGGCACAGAGGTGGTGGGGTAGTCGAATTCCTCCTCTTCGTTGCATTGCTTGGCTGAGAGTTTTTCATTGATGTCGTTTTCAAAGGATTCCATGGAGGCGCAATCAGACTCCAAACTGGCATTGCGTTCATTTTCCAATGATTCTAGAGATTCCATTGAGTCAGCAGCAGCAACTTTCTGGGATTTTTGTTGTTTGAAGATTTGTTTCAACAGCTTCTTCATGCTGTAGCTGGTCGTTTTCTTTGCGGAGATGGTGATATCCATTTTGTTGTATTGTTGAGAGATTTCTACGCACATTTTGAATGTTTGTAAGAGATGTGTAATGTTTGAATGCTCAAAAGAGTATGATACTGAATCCTTGAGAACCTCTGCCTTTTATACTCTCAGCTATGGGAATCCTGCAAAGTAAAAGAAAGCAGGTCTTTGTAAAAATACCAGCACTCACAGACAATAGTCTGTGTAGTTCTGTCTATCCAAAGGATTTTCACTTATCCTTCTTTCTGAGCGTGGGAATGCTCGAGGAAAACTGAAAATTTTCAAACTCAGGATAACAAAGGGCATCTGTTGTATGAAATTGTAGATTTTAGATTTTTGTTGTTGTTTTGCCATTGGAAAAAGGATGTTCTGGGACCGACTTTTTCCATTTAGAAAATCAATGAATTTCACTTGGTTTCGAAATGTTTCCCACGCATTGCTGAGGCATGCCAATGATTGTTGTTATTATTTTAAACGGATAAGGCTGTGTTCCAAGTTTGTGTGGAAGCATGCTGTCACATTGAATGGTTATCAATATTTGGGTTTATTTGGAACCATTGCTGATTTGGAACAAGTTGAGGTGGTTTTATTTGATGGTGTTTAACGCTGGAATGTGTGATTGATTGGAATGCGTGCTAACCATGAGTCTGGCATGGGGATATGAGGAGTGGGCCAACACGTTCTTAGCACGACCTGTAGTATTGGCATGAGCTGACCGTAGCCAAAATTTTGTAGGGGAAGAAAGTTCTGTTAAAAATCTGAAATTTATGTGGGACATATTAATAATTCCTTGTCCTAGAAAGGCCTATATAAGGTCTTCCGTCTATTCTTGACATGATGAATGACTTTAAAATTTCGTTGAGAATATCGCTTTGCGTTTCACTACAGTTGATGATACAGATACACCATGGGGATATGACGAGTGGGCCAACACGTTTTTAGCACAACCTATGTAGGTATGGACATGAGCTGATCATAATAATTTTCGAAGGGAAGTAGATTGAAAATCTAAGGGGTTATAATTTATTGAATTAATAAAAATTAATAATCACTGGGCAGAAACTGACTTAATTTAAAATTTGGATAAGATGAACTCCAAATATTAAAGGTGAACTCCATATCAATGAGGATTAACAAGACCCTCTTAGGGGTTTTTTATATAAAGTAGGCCACCAAAAAGCATACAGAGAATACCTTCTAAAGGTCTCCTATATATTTAGAAGTCCCTCCAAGTAAGTTTATGCTGAGAAAACCTTGTAAAAGTCCTTTATATAACAAATTCTTTCGGAGGGTATTTTATATAATTATACCCTCTGCCATATGGCTTGAGAGGGTATATATCATTTGATACGGCCAAAACGTGCCTCATCGAAATAACGATTTTAGACCCCAGGTCTCTTTGGGCGAAATGCTCATGGATATTTGGAGTCGATCTAGTGATGTCCGTCCGTGTCTGTCTTGCTGGTGGGCACGATAACGCCCGAGGGGAGTATCTGATTTGGTCCAAACTTGGTACATCGTAATATTACTATCAAACTTAGATCGAGTCCGGAGATGGGCAATATCGGTCCACTTCTTCTAATACCTCCCCAAGAAAAGGTCGAAATTTTCCAAAAAAAAAAAAAGAAAAATATGAGTTAGTTTTAAAATAACTCCTGGCGAGAATATCCCACACAAAAAACAAGGGAACTGATTAGGATTGGTGGCTCTTTCCGAAACCTAGGTATTCCCTGCTTTACCCCCTGACAAATATTACCACCGTTCTCCACTAATAAACAAACGTCGTTTTTGTAAAAACAATAATAATGGGATTAAACCTGACCATTTGGCAACAGCAAAATACTATGGTATCCCGATCAAACAAGCCAACACTGTTCCAAAAAAAAAAATGTTGTACTGCACAGAAAGAGAAAGGATGACCCGATTTGGCTCTAACTTTGGAAATCCTAATATTTGCATCAGTAACTGGTCAGGTGCGAAAATAGACAATATCGGTCCACTCAATGAAGTACCTCCCCCACAAAAGGTCAAAATTTTGAATATTTATAACTCTTATAAAGTGTGATGTAAGTGTCCGATTATCTTCAAATTACACACATCACAATATTTTTATTAACCCAAGGTCTAGTGCGAAGATGGAATGTATCGCACCATTCCTTCTGATACCTCACACACAAAGAGTAAAAATTTTGAATAGCCAAGAAGCTTATAAAGCGCGAAAAGAACATCCGATTCTATTCAGACTTGGTACATTTCAATATTTCCATCAAAACAAGATTTGTTGTAAAATTTGTAGAGATTGGACCATTTCTTCTGGTACCTCCCCCACAAAGGGTCAAAGTTTTAAATAACCAAAACTATTATAAAATCCGAAATAAGCATCCGGTTCTCTTCATATGTCACACATCCCATTATTTCTACTAGCACAAGATCTGCTGTGAAGATGGAATATATCGCACCCTTCCTTCTGGTACCTCCCCCACAAAGGGTTAAAATTGCGAATATCCATGAAACCCATAAAACGTGAAATTGACATCCGATTCGATTCAGACTTGGTACATCTCAATATTTCCACCAACACAAGATCTGTCAAAAAGATGGTAGAGATCGGACCATTCCTTCTGGTACCTCTCCCAAAGAGGGTAACAATTTAGAATAACCAAAACTATTATAAAATCCGAAATAAGCATCCGGTTCTCTTCATATGTCACAGATCCTATTATTTCTACTAACACAAGATCTGCTGTGAAAATTGGATATGTCGGCGGCATCTTTTGGTACCTCCCCTACAAAAGGTCAAAATTTTGAATATCCCTGAAGCTTATAAAACGTGAAATTGTCATCCGATTCCATTCAGACTTGGTACATCTCAATATTTCCATCAACACAAGATCTGTTGTAAAAATGGTAGTGATTGGACAATTTCTTCTGGTACCTCTCCCACAAAGGGTCAAAGTTTTAAATAACCAAAACGATTATAAAATCCGAAATAAGTATCCGGTTCTCTTCATATGTCACACATTCTATTATTTCTACTAACACAAGATCTGCTGTGAAAATGGGATACATCGGTCGACTCCTTCTGGTGCCTCCCCCACAAAGGGTCAACATTTTGAATATCCATGAAGCACATAAAACGTAAAATTAACATCCGATTCGTTTCAGACAGGCACATCTCAATATTTCCATCAACACAAAATCTGTTGTATAGATGGTAGAGATTGGACCATTTCTTCTGGTACCTCTCCCACAGAGGGTAAAAATTGTGAATAACCAGAACGATCATAAAATCCGAAATAAGCATCCGGTTCTCCTCAAATTACACACATCACATTATTTTTATTAACCCAAGGTGTGGTATATCGGTCCACTCCTTATTGTACCACCCCCACAAAGGGTCAAAAATTTGAGTATCCATGAAGCTCATAAAACGAGAAATTAACATCCGAAGCCATTCAGACTTGGTACATCTGAATATTTCCATCAACACAAGATCTGTCATAAAGATGGTAGCAATCGGACCACTTCTTCTGGTACCTCCCCCAACTAGGCTTCATGCTTTTGACAAGCAAGATTCTCAAAGAAAGCGAAATAAATGATATATATCTGCGGACCTCTTCTGGTATCTTGCTTGCTATGCCTAAATATTTCTCTCAACCAGAAACCTGTGATGAATATGGAATTTATCGGAATTTATGATTTCGCATGAAATTGGATATAAATGTTCGATTTTCTTGTAATTTTGCCTATACGTATGTATGAGGATGGAATACTTTAGTCGACGATATCTGGTACTTCACACAGATTTTAAAATTTTCTTAAAATTCTCACATATCTCATAAGTAAAATGAGGGAAGTAGTCGATATAGTCCAAACCTGGCACGTCACAATATTTTTATGATATTTATTCAGATCCGAAACGAAATGGACAATATTGGCCCATTCCTTCGAAATCTCTTCCTTAGAGGGTCAAATATTCGAATAATCATAACACAAGTCAAAATTTATTTAAATAGTCGCAGATTGGCCAAGGGTATACAACTGTCGGAAATACCGATAGATACTTTTGAACTTGTTTTTTTTTTTTTTTCTAATTTAAAAATTTGAATTTTTTTGCAAATGGTGGAGGGTTGTCCAAGTTCAGCCTGGCCTTATATAAAATCGAAAAATTTTAAGGAATTTTGGAAATAAAAATTTTTATTCGTCTTTAAGATATTAAAGGGAACTTCGAAAATCTTCTATACAAAGAATATATTTTATATATCTTCCAATTTCTCTCATATTTGTGAAAGTATTATTTTATAATTAAGGATAAGGAAGGAGGTTATCAGACTCTGTAGGACGTTTCACAAAGTACATAGTTTCCACGCAAGAAGCTCGTGCTTAGCATAAGCTTAACACGTACTGACGTTTTACTTTTATTAACACAGGTCAATCTACTTCAAACAACAACCACAACACTTTAACCTCACATGCCGTTGAATAACATTTTGGACGACCGCTTGCCACAACCTCAGCACGCTTAATTTGTTGAGATACTATTAGAATTGCATTCCTCATGCCTCAACATCCGTGGGAAACCTTTCAAACCCATTGAAGAAACATCATTTCTTTGCCTATGGAAATGTTGAGCTGATGAGCTCAAAAAATTTATTTTCTCACGAATATAACACAACACATCCTCTTTTCAATGCCAAAAAACAACAACAAAATCTTTATTCTACAATTTCACAGAGCAGATGCATTTCGTTTCGATGAGTTTGAAAATTTTTAGTTTTCCTCGAGCATTCCCACGCTCAGAAAGAAGGATAAGTGAAAATCCTTTGGACAGACAGAATTACACAGACCAGTGTCTATGAGTGCTGGTATTTTTACAAAGACCTGCTTCCTTTTATTTCTCATGATTCTTATGACGGAGAGTATAAAAGGCCGAGGTTCTCAAGGATTCAGTATCACACTCTTTTGAGCATTCAAACATTACACATCTCTCACAACTATTAAAAATGTGCGTAGAAATCTCTCAAACTCAACAATACAACAAAATGGATATCACCATCTCCGCTAAGAAAACCAGCAGCTATAGCATGAAGAAGCTGTTGAAACAAATCTTCAAACAACAAAAATCCCAAAAAGTTGCTGCTGCTGACTCATTAGAATCTCTGGAATCATTGGAAAATGAACGCAATGCTAGTTTGGAATCGGATTGCGCCTCCATGGAATCCTTTGAAAATGACATTAATGAAAAACTCTCAGCCAAGCAGTGCAACGAAGAAGAAGAATTCGCTTACCCCACCACCTCTGTGCCAGTTCACTTCGTTCGCACCCAACAGGGTACCTGCTTTTGGACTACCACCAGTGCCTTTGAGCAAGTATCCTGTCTACAAGATCGTTGGGCCCAGGCCTAAAAAGGAACTGCCTGAAAAATAAAATTCTTCAATCGAGGTCTTCCATTGGAATATATTCCAAATATTTTACAACAACAAAACGCTTTAACCGAAATGTGATAATTTATTATAAATTAAGAAAAAAAAACAATTTTTTACACAAAAAAAGAAAAAATATACAAATTTTATTAACCAAATGTTTATTGTGTTATTTATTAATATAAAATTAAATTGAGGTATAGAAAATAATTATAGAGAGAGATAAAGTCCAATTCTTGAAGATATTGGCAGGATGACATTTTTCCGAAGGTTTTCTGTAACTTTTTTAGCCGATGTTACTGCTATCTTTAATTCTGGGTCCTTTGAAAATATGATTCTTCCAAGCCCAAATTTTTTTGTTGTAAATCACCTTACTAATATGGCTTTTAAACGGTCTTAAGGAGACACTTGCCCCTCTCGATTTTGGAAACGATGGTGCTATTATCTTTAATTCTGGATCCTGAATTTCTTATTATAAATCCCCAAATTAATACGGCCTTTAAAAACTCTTAAGAATGTCTCTGCATTGCCCCACGATTTTGACTGGAGGGGAATTATCGCATACTGTTGCGTGAAGTCCAAAATAAGGTGCTTTGTTGGGTGTGGAAAAAATTGGACAGGAACTGTGATGTTATTCTGCAATTCCTTCTCCTTGAATACCTTTGCCCCTCTCGATTTTGGAAACATTGGTGCTATTATCTTTAATTCTGAATCCTTTGATACCTTTGCCCCTCTAGATTTTGGAAACATTGGTGCTATTACCTTTAATTCTGGATGCTTTGAAAATAGCCCGCATTTCTTGTTATAAATCCCCAAATTAAGCCGGCCTTTAAAAACTCTTAAGAGTGTTGCTGCATTGCCCCACGATTTCGATTGGAGGGGGAATTACTGCATACTTTGCCTGAAGTCCAAAATCAGGTGCCTTGTTGTGTTTGGAAAAAATGCACTGGCACTTTGATGGTGTTCTGCAATCTCTTCTCTTTGGATACCTTTGCCCCTCTCGATATTGGAAATGATGGTGCTATTACCTTTAATTCCTTTAATCCCCAAATTAATACGGCCTTTAAAAAATCTTGAGAATGTCTCTGCATTGTTCCACGATTGTGACTGGAGGGAAGAATTATTGCATACTGTTGCCTGAAGTCCAAAATAAGGTGCCTTGTTGGGTGTGTAAAAAATGCACTGGCACTTTGATGGTGTTCTGCAATTTCTTCTCTTTGGGTACATTTTCCCCTCTCAATTTTGGAAACGTTAACTCTGGATCCTTTGAAAATATTATCCTTCCAAGCCCGAGTTTCTTGTTACGAAACCCCAAATTAATACGGCCTTTAAAAACTCTTAAGAATGTCTCTGCATTGTCCCATGATTTTGACTGGAGGGTGAATTATGAAATACTGTTACCTGAAGTCTAAAATAAGGTGCCTTTTTGGGTGTGGAAGAAGTGCACTGGAACTGTGATATTATTCTGCAATTTCTTATCTTTGGCCCCTCTCGATTTTGGAAATGATGGTGCAATTATCTTTAATTCTGGTCCTTTGAAAATATTATCCTTCCAAGCCTGAATTTCTTGTTACAAATCCCGAAATTAATACGGCTTTTAAAAACTCTTAATAATGCCTCGGTATTGCCCCACGATTTCGACTGGAGGGGGAATTATTGCATACTGTTGCCTGAAGTCCAAAATAAAGTGCCTTGTTGGGTGAGGAAAAAGTGCACAGGAAATGAGATACTATTCTGCAATTTCTTCTCTTTGGATAGCTTTTCCCCTCTCGATTTTGGAAATTATGGTGCTATTATCTTCAACTCTGGATCCTTTTAAAATAGTATCTTTCCAAGCCTGAATTTCTTGTTACAAATCCCCAAATTAATACGGCCTTTAAAAGCTCTTCAGAATGCCTTTGCATTGCCCCATGATTTCGACTGGAAGGTGAATTATTGCATACTGTTGCCTGAAGTCCAAAATAAGGTGCCTTGTTGGGTGTGGAAAAAATGCACTGGCACTTTGATGGTGTTCTGCAATTTCTTCTCTCTGGAATATGCTCTTGCTGAGAGTTGCTCATTAATAGAATTTTCGTAGGATTCAATTAAACCGCAATCGGATTCCAAACTTTCATTCAAACTGTTCTCCAATGATTCCTGAGATTCCAAAGATTTTTGTTGCCGAAAAAATTCTTTCCATTGCATTTGTTTGTTCTTGGAGCTGTTGACTTCCATTTGGACGGATTGGGTGATATCCATTTTATTGTAATGTTAGATTTCTATTCATTTTTCAAAGCGGCTCTGTTGTGGGGTCTTCTCCCAAGGAATGTTAATGTAAGAATATTCCGTCGCCCCAATAATTCCTCTCTTTTTATACAGTTCTCAGACGTAGAAGTTCCAATGAGAGGCCGATATTTAATTACCGATTCCCTTACAAAGGCAACAAACAAAAATCCACCTTGAATCTATTTTAATCCTTTTTGTTTAGATTTTCTTGGTGGCTCGTGGAACTGATGAGTGAAATAAAACACGATTTTGGGAGAAATGTTGTCTTAATTGCATTTTTTATGAATGTTGTTTTTCTTGTGCTTGGCTGTCTTTTGTTTATCTTCGTTTAAAGGTCGGACATCAGGTCAAAATTGGGATCAACAAAGTTCAAATCATCTCTTGCCATCAAGATCACTGGATGTAGAGTGTGCTACACACATGTACAACACACGTGACTCTCTTCGAAGAAGGGGATGTTTGGAATCATTAGTTGAATTGGGAGAGGGGAGGGTAGGGAAGGAAGGGGGAAATGTTAACAGTTTAAAGACTTATTAACACTGAGAATGCAGAATGTTCCATCAGTTTATTTAGTTTATTGACTATGGATTATGTGGGGGTGTATTTACAGCGTAATGGAAATTGTTAAAATAAATTGGAACTGAATTGAGTCGAATGTTCTAAATTGACCACAAATGATCAACAAATTGTTTATTGGGTTATTTGAAGTCTTTTAGTTTATTTTCAAAAACCCACATATTTACTATAGACAAGGGTATTAAATATATATGTAAGACTTCTTTAGACTATTTATACCCTCAGCCATATGGCGGGAGAGGGTATATATCATTTTATGCGGCCAAAACGTGCCTCTTCGAAATAACGGGTTTAGACCCTAGGTCTCTTTGGACCAAATCACTTTCTGCTGGCGCACGATAACTCTCGAATGAAGTATCCGATTTGGTCCAAACTTGGTACATCGTAATATTATTATCAAACTTAGATCGAGTTTGGAGATGGGTAATATTGGTCTACTCCTTCTGGTAACCCACAAAAGGTCGAAATTTTAAAACAAAAATATTGCCCAGAAAGAAAAAGTATGATCCAATATTGCTCCAACTTTGCACATCATAATGTTTCCAAGTCAGGTGAGAAAATAGAAAATATCAGTCTACCTCATCAAGAACCTACGCCGCAAAGGGTGGGATATATCGGTGCACTACTTCTGACACCTCCCCCACAAAAAGTCGAAATTTTGAATATAAATGAAGCTTATAAAACGTGATATTAACATCCGATTCCATTCAGACTGGGTAAATCTCAATATTTCCATCAACACAAGATGTGTTATAAATATGGTAGAGATCGGACCATTTCTTCTGGTACCTCCCCCACATAGAAAAGGAAAAACAAAGCGCTCAAAGAAAGGATCCAACTCTCAAAAAAAGGATCCAACTCCCTTTAAATTTCACACATACAAATATTTTTGCTAACCCGTTCGATTTTCTTGTAATTTTGCCCATACCTGTATTTTTATCTGTATTAGATGAAGTATGGAAATGGAATACTTTGGTCGACTATATCTGGTACATCACGCACATGTTAAGATTTTCTAAGAATTATCAAATATCTCATACAAAGTGAAGGAAGTAGTCGATATAGTCCAAATCTGTATCCAAACCTATATCATATTTATTTAGGTCCGATACGAAATGGTCATTCCTTCAGAACCTACACCATATAGGTCAACAATTTAAACAAGCACAACAGAAGTCAAAATATATTTAAATAATCGAACAGGTGCTGAGATTTATACCATCTGTCGACAACACCGACTGATACTTTTTAACTTGTTCCGTGTGAAACTCGGAAAACAAATTTCAGAAAAGAAGCTATTTCAGGGAAGGTCTGCGCCACCAGGACTCCTACTCTGTTCCTCTTCATAGGTCATATTTTTTTTAATATGTGACATTTAGTAAGGATTGTAAGTTTGGCCAGATATTTCAAAATCCTTTGGAGATTTCGCTCAACTCCCCTAAGAAGGTATGGCTTTTTGATTTAAAAAAAAAAATGTTATGTCTCCGTCTATAGGTTTCTGTTTATGGAAGACATCTCGAATTAAATGCAATTACCTATAACGACGGAATAAACCATTATTAGTAGTCAATTGAAAACATTCGACTCAATTCAATTTTTATTTATTTCAACAATTTTCATCTCGCTCTAAACACACCCACACACTCACACCATTCAAGGTAATTTAAATAAACTCATGGAACGTTCTGCATTCTCAGTGTTAATAAGTCTTTGAAGTGTTAACATTTTCCCCCTCCTTCCCTACCCTCCCCTCTCCCAATTCAACTAATGATCCCAAACTTCCCCCTCTTTGAAAAGAGGCACGTGTGTTGTACATGTGTGTAACACACTCTACTTCAATTCAAATGTCAGGAGAAAGATTTGAACTTTGTTGAACCCAATTTTGACCTGATGCCTGACCTTTAACCGAAGATAAACAAGAGACAGCCAAGCACAAGAAAGAAAAAAAAAACATTTATAAAAAAAATGCAATTAAGACAACATTTCTCCCAAAATTGTGTTTCATTTCACTCATCAGTTCCACGAGCCACCAAGAAAATCTAAACAAAAAGGATTAAAATAGATTCAAGGTGAATTTTTGTTTGTTGCCTTTGTAAGGGAATCGGTAATTAAATATCGGCCTCTCATTGGAACTTCTACTG